AAAAAAAAAAAAAAAAACACACCACCAATGGCCATTATGGGGAACTTTTGATCTCTCCGAACTTAATTTAGTCAAAGTTTTAGAAAGCTATGGGTACTTAATAGAAAAAAAAAAAACAAAACAAAAACAAAACAAAACTGGGATGCCTGTTTTAAATGGTACTGATATAGAGTAGACAGTTAGTTAGACATGTATTGGAGGCAAGGATGGTGATAAATAGGGTACACATTAGAAGCCTGGGGGCACAACATCCTGACTTTGTGGCTCCCAAGACCCTTCAACCTCCTGGCCTTGTGGCCACCAAGACACCAAGGCATCAAGAGCCACAGGTGCAGAACATGCCCTCTCCTCTTCAGCCTCTGCCCCAGAGTAACCTATAGTGTCATTGTAATGTATTTACATTGTGATTTTAACCCTGCCCCTGTGGGAGGAGATGAACAGGACAGTTCCAGCAAGAACTTTGTAGGGCCCAAAACTCGTCCTCCTAATTGGCAGGAGGAGTCCCTTAGATGGTTGGAAACGACCTCAGAGACTGACCTAGCTATGACCCATAACCTATGCAAACATAAAAAGAAAAGACACCCCTAATCCTGGTGCAGTTGCTACCTCTGGGTCTGCTCACTGTCCCTTCTTGACAGTGTTCTGTCCTTAGTAAACTGCTTTGTGCTTGCTACCTTCCTTCAGGCTGTCGCTGAGTATGGATCCTCAAATAAATCTTTCGTGGGGAATACAAGCATTTAGGCCTCCATTCACACAATGCAGACTCTCCCACAGGTAATAATACCTTGAGACTTCCAGATATTTTCAGACCTAGCCTCTTCTAAACCTAGCTGCTTCCAGAAGGACCTGTTTGGTAACAGTCCACAGGGACAGAGTGGTTTACCTGGACTGGGAGAGAGCCTGGAAAATTCTTTTCTGAGGAAGATGATTATCTGCCTGCTCCCACTCCCCACCCCCCCTGCTCCGCCAATCTTATTTCAAGCAATATTTCAGCAGTTTGTGAATGATATTTAAATGGGCAGTACCACCCATAGAATTCCCTTAGTAATAGCACAGTGGTCCTGGGTGGCTCAGTCAGTTAAGTCTCTGACTTCGTCTCAGGTCGTGATCTCACAGTTTGTGAGTTCAAGCCCCATAATGGGCTCTGTGCTGACAGCTTAGAGCCTGGAACCTGCTTCAGATTCTGTGTATCCTTCTCTCTCTACTCCTCCTGCACTAGCATTCTGTCTCTGTCTCTCTCTCTCTCTCGAAAATAAAAACATTAACAAAAAAAATTTTTTTTTTAAATAGTGCAACGGTTCCCAAATTTGTTTGCACATTGGTCACCAGGGAACTACAAAAACACTGATGCCTGTGTCTCATAGGCCTGGACTTAGGAATTTTTTAATAAAATTTTTGTTCAGTTTACTTAAACTAAAAAAAAAAAAAACAAAACAAAAAAACAATTCACCCATTTCTCCCACCCTCCATCTCTTATAATCACCTTCTGTTCTCTGTATCTACACGTTTGTTTTTGTTTCTAGTTTTTGTTTTTGTTTTTTTAGATTTCACATGTAAGAGAGATCATACTGTGTTTATTTTCTGT